AGATACCAATTTTATTGGATTACCTTGATTGTGCAAGTTTAAACTTTGTGTTTTGGTTATTTGCAGATTATTGGGCATCAAGGTGGAGATTGTTGGGTTTTTGATACCCAATAATCCTGGGCGATGATGTTAAACAGTGTCAGATAGTCGTATTATATTTCATAGGCTTTGGCCGATGATTGAAATATTGATTAACACACTCGATTAATTTGCTCAACCCGAAAAACAACTTAAGGGTCGTTTGAAGCAACTTAATATAGTTAATGTCGCTCACGGCCCATTTACTTCTTGGATGGCTCAATTTGTGTTCCGCCCCCTTTAACCATTAGTTGATCCATGAGCCCATTATATTATTACACCCTAAAACTATATATTGCCCTCATTTGTGAATGAGCCGTGTGTGTGTGCAATTGAAAAGAGGCAGCCTACATTTTCTCTAGTTTTCTCTCTTGAGCCAAAAACTGAATCTGTCTTCCTCTATTCTTTGTGATTCATTGGAGCCACCATATTGTGCTCTTTGTGAACACATTGAGTTGAGCAACCGAAGTAAGAATCGTTGTTTGGGTTGGAGTCTTTGTTGGGTGTGTTTAATAAGATAGAGATTGGTTAAACAGAGCCCGGAAAATCCACCATTGGAGGTCGATTGGTCAACATTGATTTCGTTCAAAGTTATTATTTCTACGTTGTTTAGAAAAGGAAAATAGTTGTTTTGTGTACTGTGGTTGTATATAGTTAGGGATGACAAAATAATTCATATCTATATATCATTGAATATGCATTTAATAGTTTAGTTCTAACAAATTTAACTTACCAAATGAGCCGACATTAACTAAGTTTGGAAGAAAAGCAAGATTAAAGGTACCTCGCAATCCCGACACCGATTTGAGGAGCTTCTTCTTGCATTTTTCACATGATATATCGACCTTCAAAACAGTCTTTTGTATCATCGCAATAAACCGAATTTTCTTCTATTTTTTGATACAAATCTAAATAAGGATAAATGTGAGTTATATAAGGGTGATCTAAAGTAACAATCACCCATATGATCTTTGGGTTGTTCACCCCTTCCAATTGTCTTCTTTAATTTGGACAAATCATGACATTAATTTAATCAACCTAAGATTTTTTATTGTACCTTTGTTTCGACTTGAGTGACTTTTGTAATTGTTGCTGACTGCAATTCAAGATAAATCACCATTTGATTGAATCCAAATTATGCTGAGAGGTTAACTAATATTAGCTAGGTAGGTAACCAAAAAATAATAATAATTTTCATATTTAAGTTTGTTTGAAAGAAATACAAATAGAAGTTTAATGTTTTTTCTCTTCTTTAAACTGATGAATATGTGAGTTTTATTAACAAAATTGTATAATATAATTTTGTTGAGGTCCTTAATATGTCGTCTCCAATTGGTAAGGTTGCAGATCTATAATAATAAACATTTAGAAAATAAGGCGTGAAAGTATAACATTTTATTACATGTAACGCACTATCATTCCTTTTCAAAATTCTTTTACCTTAAATTTCATGTATGTAAATCATTTGTTATCTAGGAAGAGTTCTGTTTTCATGTTGAAATGCAAAATTTTGGGTAGGAATCAAATTTGTCTTTCGTAATTTATAAACTCATTGTCTCTACCGTTTTATTAAGAATTTTATCATTTGTAGTCAGCCACCTCAAGCAAACATTCTTTGGACCCAAATGGGGGTTTTTTTTTTTGGGTGGCTACTTACACGAATACCCTTAATTTCGAGGTCCTTTTGAAAATTATTATAAACATGGGCTAAAATATAAGTAGTATGATCCTTATCATTAAAACCATAATTAATATGTCAAAATTAGAAATTGGAAATTAGAGATGATAAACAGATACATAAGGTCCTAATCCCTCCAAATAAGAGTAATGCTATTCTCCAAATAAACCAAAATAGAAATTATAAGAGAATATCTTGCACAAATCAAGGGCTACTTTAGCTAGCTTTTCTTCAAATTTGCAAATAATCAACACATATTTACAAGTTCGTAATTTATGACTTTTGATCAATTAGTTCATATTTTGTTTGATTATTAAAAATAAAAATTTATACTTTATGATTATTCAATAAAAGGAAAGAAATTATATGCTAATTTCTAATGATAACTACTGATTAATGCTCTTGTTTTTATTTGTTGAAATCATGAACACGATTTTCACCTTGAATTTGATCTTGTTGAGATTTTTCTTGTTCAAGTATATATGAAATAAGTGATGCATATAAAGTGTTCGTGAAAATGTAAATAGAAGTATGAGAAGGTGAAAAGTGACATGATATGTCGCTTATTTTAGGAAGGTTGCATACTATCTAATTTGAATTCCTTTTGAATCAATTAATAGTTGTGAATATTTAAATATTAATATGAATTCAAACTTTGTGTTTTAAATAAAAAGGTGAGGTACACATTGGACTTTTGCATATGAATTAAAGTGATAGAATTTGAAAGTAATATTCTCTCCCTTTTTCTTAAGAATGTCGCAGATAATCTCATTGAGCCCATGTTTTGTGGCCATTCTTTTAAAAAAAGGTTTTGAATATTGTTTTAGATGAATATGTGGTTAAAAAGTAGAAATTTTTTTTTGAGTGTACGTGTAAAAATTTTAATATGTGAATGTGTAGTTGAAAATAATCTCGTTGAAAAATGTTTGAAAAGAATGAGAATCAAACATAGGTTGAATTCTTCTTTGATCAATTAAAGAGATTCATATATGTGTGTTTGGGAAAATTCAAATATGAATATGAATTTAAATTAAAAAGTAACATAATGTAATATTTTGCCCTTGTTCGGGCTCTAATTTAATGAGGTTTTGAGAAAAAATAGATTTTGGAATGGTGAACTTTTGCAGAATGTGTGTTTAAAAAAGGAGGAAAAGTTTTGGGTTTATGTGTAATATTATTTTATTGAAAAATGTGATTCAAAAGATGAAAGAGAAAAATACATTTAAGATATTTGTCTTTTGCTTGAATTAAGAATTAAGTTACTAGAATTTGAAAGTAACATACCATATCACTATTTTTTAAGAGATGTGAATCAATTAAAGAGATGGCTCCTAGGAATCACTAGATCCTATAAATGAATGTTGTGATGTATCATGAAAATTCTTTAAAAGACGAGAATTAAATAATTTTCTCTTGTGAAACGAAATATCACCCATTTCCCCTTCGAACTCGCCCGCCCCCCCCTAAAAGACTATTGTTATCTTGTTTTGAGGGGAGCATTAATCCTTTAAGTCCAAGACAACATTCGCTTTCAGGCTTTTCAATCAATCGATTCGACCTCGGAGAGCTACTTTTGCTGAAACTCGAGTAGTTTCTTGAAAACTCACTTCATATATGAAACTTTGAGTATTGAGAGATGCTCTTGTTATTCTCAATAAGACGGCTCGATAACAGACTGCTTTTTTCAAAGCATGCCCCATTCGTTCGCTCGTAATAAGTCAATTAATTCTTCGGGTGAATATATTTACTCTGTCAATTTTTTATAAAAAAAGTCTTACATTATTTCATTTTGCAAATATGGTTAAAATTATCTTCATCTGTTATGGAGACAAATGGGAACATATAACGCATATAAAAGTGAGAAAATGACTGAAAATTGCTGTGCTAGTGAAATCCATATACAAACTTGGGAGCATGATTTTTCTATGATGAAATTAAATCTAAACACTCAAAGAATAACAATATAATATAAGGCGAGGAAAAACTTACATTTCATGAAGATTTCAAACAATATTTATCTCACATTTATTTGGAGCTCAAGAAAAAAGAAAAACATTTCACAAGCTTTTCATTGTGCGTAGATATGATGACGATATTAAAAAGTCACAGAAATAAATTTTTTGACGACAAACAAAGTTTGCAGGCTGCTACTTTTTAAAAAAAAAAAAAATGATATGATGCAGTTACATTTTTGTGAAACTAATAATTTGATAACAAACAACGATTCAAAAACTACGCACTGTTGAATAATTTACTGCTTATGTATAAAATAACTCATTAGGAGTTGAAGAAATGAGGAAGGAAGGAAGTGATATCATTTTAGTTATTACTATGAATAGAATTATAGAAGAATTTTTTTTTCCTGAAATTAGATATTGGTTAAGAGAAAGCTTTCGGCATACACAATACACGAGAACTTTTTCAATTCAAGGTAAGTAAATCAAACAAGAAGGAATATATGCTAAAATGCAAAGATGATAATTGAAATTTGACTTTTAGGGGCTTCAAGGCTTGAAGAAACAAAATGTTCAATGTAAGCTTGTATAAAAATGTTTGTACATGCTCAAATAACATCATATTGGGAGAACACCGTCAAACAACAAGCTCAATAGTAAGAAAAATTTTCAAGTACAATTATATCTCAAGAAAATCACATATACTCCCACAGACATTTTAAGTGACATGATAAATACATATAGAGTGTCGATAAATTATGAGAAAGCTTCGAGATCTAAGGAAAATAGATTAGAATTGGTAAGAAGAATTTGTACAGAGTCTTATGAAAAATTTCCAGAATACTTGTAGATAATAAAACAAACAAATCCCGAATCAATTACAAGAATTGAGATATACGAGAACAACAAATTCAAATACATCTTCATGGCATTGGCACATCTGTTCAAGGATGTGTGTATTGAAGACAAGTTATATAAAAGATAGTTCTTAAAAGGAAATTATGGTCGCACACTATTTGTCGCATGTATACAAGACAAAAACAACATCTTTATACTAGTATTTGGAGTTGATGATTTATGGGAGTGGTTCTTAATTATGTTAAAATAAGCTTAAGGTAAGCGAGAAAGATTGTGCATAATCTCAAATGGACAGGCAAGGATAAAAAATGCAAATCACAATGTTTATAAAAGTGCAATGTATGGTCTATGCTCCTACTACTTGTTGAAAAACTTAACGTCATCTTTTGGTAGGAAAAAGGAAAGAACATTGTAGAACATTTCAAGAGAGCTATTAGGGCATACGCAAAGAACATTTATCAGCCAAATTTTCCCAATTCAATGTTGTGGGAAACCTTACAAGCAGCAAGCAAAGATCCCCATACAACCCGTTAGGAGGCATTGGCATCGACTCTATTACAAGTAAATAAGGAAATCATATGTATCTTCTAGTAGTACAAGACAATGTATTATTTTCTAATATAACAAAACACCATTGGACTTATCAAAAAGCGCCTTAAAAAAAAAAAAAAAAAAAAAAAAAAAAAAAAAAAAAAAAAACTTAAAAAAAAGGTGCATTAATGCCACTTAGTTTGGTCTTAAAATAACCAATAATCCAATCATTCTTTCTTCGTCACAGAAATTGTGACATTGACAAATTTCAGCTCCTCTTTGGACATGCAATCACTTAGAATTTCTCCATACTTATGAAATAGTTTATCCATTATAGATTCACCAAATTGAGAAATCAACAAGGGCTCTGCCACTGATCTCATGCATTTGGCTACATTATATCCATCGTCTTTGAATGAATTTGATGAATCGAATTTATCGCCGCACTCAGCCCAATTGATTTCTGAAACCTTGAGGCAATTGATTATGAACGAAGCTTCCTTTTCTACTTCTCCCTTCACTTCTAATGGTGATGGTGTGTACTCGGGAATGTTGAATGAATGCAGCTTTTCTTCTTCTACGAGTCCCTGCATAAGTAAAATATTTGGCCACGTTTAAGAAAATTATTTCTAAGCAAGTTTTAAAAAAGAAAAAAAAAATTCAAAACAATTATCTTTTCAATTTTTATTTATTTTTTAACTATAAGGAAAATATCATTCAAACAAGTCGTCAAAAAAAATTATTTAAAAACAATTTTAAGTCACCATTAAACCCAAAAATATAATTTTTTATATGTGGTTAAAATTAATAGTTATTTTGACTAATTATTTAACAACTTTATAGAGCTATCCAAAAAAGTGATTATTTAATTAGATTCGATTCATTCTTATTTAATAGTGTAAAAATGGGGGAACCGACCAATCAGCCAAGATATGAAACCCATAAAAATAATTTGGCTTTTGAAGATAAAATAATTCATTTTAAGGACCGATCCAACCTTTTACTATGGACGTCCATCCTTAAGAACAGGCTTTTCAGAAGGCAGTCCACAACCTTTTCAAAAGACTGTTGCTTTATATATAAAATGCTTTTGCCTTTTATAGAAGAGGCAGAAGCCTTCTTTTTTTTTTTTTTTTTTTTTTTAACGAGGTGTCCCAACTTGCGCCAGACTATATATTCTCGTCCCTAAACCTCCGGCCCCTCAGCTGCTCAGGGAGGTAAATCGCAGGATGTGCCCTTGTTGGTTCCCAGGTTCCCACATGGCTTTTACTCCTTCCCCAAAGGAAGCCTCCTCCATGGTGATTAATCCACCAATAATTCCTCATTTATTGGATCAAAGGTTCCCACCAGGAATCGAACTCCCCACGGTTGGTTCCAGAGCCCCCCAATGTGATTGTTCCGCCAACTTGAATGTGCCCTGGGGGGCGGCAGATTTTTATATGAAAGGTTGCTTGATTGATAACCTTTAATGGTTGATGGACGGGGCAGCTCCATTTTCTTTTTAAAATACATTTTTTTCTCATTTTTTTCAGTGACACATTTTTCAATAAAATAATATTATACGTAAATCCAAAATATTGTTTTATTTTTTAACCACACATTCTCTATCAATTTAGCCCCCGTTTGGTCCTCATCCTCATTCTCATTCTTTTCCTCTCTCTCATTTCAACCATACAATCTTCCAACAAATAATATTACACGTAAATTAAAATTTTTTTTTTAACTACACATTTTTCGAACACACTGCTTCAACCATTAAAATTTTTAAAAAATGGGGACCAAACGGGGATTCCAAAATGCATTATTAGAATATAATGGGTGCTCAAATAGGCCAAGATTTTAATTTTTAAATATTTATTTGTCATTTACGTTTAAAACATTATTTATTTTTTGCGCCCAAACATGTAAATCGAACCGGTCCAAGTTTTTCACTTATTGACCAGTGGATCAGCCTACTTGGTTTATGGACCGGTCTTGAGCGAGCCATGTTTAGTCCGTCCAGTTTGATACCAGTAATCGGGAGAGAATAAAATTATTTATTTATCCATCATACTCTTTAAATAAACGAGTGTAAAAATATGACAAAGTATTTTCTCTCATTTCAAAGCACGCAAATAAAATATATTGACACAAACCATCATCAAGAACATACTTATTAATTGAAGGTTAAAGATAAGAACTCAGAAAAAAAATTAAGGACATATGTGTTACTATAAGCACATATCAAGGATCTCTAGTGCAATTAAAATAAAGATTTATGATACTTTGTATATTAGATACCTCGGAGACCATTTGTTTAAGTGCCATTGCTAAGAGGTCCCAAATGTAGCAACATTCTTTACTAGTAGGATCGTCATTTTTCCTCCCCAAAATTGTTAAAACCATGCGACCACCACTCACTAATTCCTCGGAACGACACTTTAGGAATGTTGAAAAATCTTTTTGAAATTGCTCGTAGTACGCTTGGATCACGCTCGGAGGACTTGTACTTGCCATGTAAATGTTTTCTTTGTTCATTTCCACCACGTTAGAAACCTATTAAACAAGATACAAAATAGAGAAGTAATTTTTGAAAATCCGAATGTGTTGAAGATATATTATAAACAAATAACTTTACTCCCTTGTGAATAGTTTAATATTTTAGATAATATATCTTACTGTACTATAAGAGCAAGTAGATATCCTAAATATGTTCAAAATCCATGTCTCCATCACTTATTTATCAAACTTGTACACATGTCATGCTTAACTAAATCTAGAAAGTATGACACAAACGTACATAATTTAAATAAACAATTTTATTATGTAACAATTTAAGATTTCAAATGATATTGAACAACAAGGCATGTGAGCACACATAGTTATTGAATTCAATTATTGTTTCAAATTAAAATTAATATTTTGATGAAAAAATAATTTGACATGCAATTGAGGCAACATGTTAAATATATGATTGAAGTAAATAGCAATATCATTCTCAATAAAGGTTCGCGATTTTTAGTTACTTGAGAAAGCCACATGAGGCTATATGAAGAGTGAACAAAATGCAGACTTCTAGTAGGAAAAAGCCTGCCATAGAATGAACCAGGCACACCATTGAAAAAGCATGGTCCAAATTCAGATCCCATTTCCTCTTTTATTTCTTCTTGAACCCGTGGTAAGGACTGAAAAATAGAGTTAAAATCATTTCCCGGAAGATCGTTCAAGTATATTTGGAATTCTGGTGATGATTGATGATTCAATCGTTTTCTTATTTTGTCGACTGTTCTCATAACCTCAGTCATCACGAACAACGCGTTTGGCCCAGAAGAACAACCAAGATCTGCTATGCATACAGTTTTGGGATATATGTTGCTATATACACCAGTAACTGCTTCTTCTGTTATTGCTTTTGTCATCGATATTACTTTTCGCTGCCACAATTAATCACAAGTTAATTAAATGTTTTCAACAGCTTCTGCTTATAATAAACAAATAATGTTTCCAAAAAGAAAGAAAAATACATGCAAGAGTGAAGAACCTTTATTTTTTACCTGAAGTAATGAGTTGCTTGCGTAACTGTTATCTCCAAATCCTCCATTCATGCAGAGTACTTCACTTACTTTCATATTCTCTCTTTCTCTAAATATAACTAAACTCACTTCTTTGTTGTGTATGGTTTGTTCATTATTGACGATCCCCTTCACTTTCCAGCTAGCAATTTGTCATTATTTTAATATATTTTTCTTTCACTTCAAGTTAAACCCAAGTTAGTTATGAGTTATAACAATGTAAAACTCAATTATATATAATATAACAGGGGGGATAACGTTGGATATGCATTTATACACATGTCCCACGTGTAAAATTAGAAAATGGTTTTTAAAAAGTCTTAAGAATTTAGTAAATTAGGAAAATGTCCACTTCACAAGTTAATGAGAAGAAGGTGACTATATTGGCATGACACACTTTTATAAGTTCAACAGATTGTAATTTCTTTAAACATCTCTAACTTTTCCTTATTGTCATATTTATGTCTTCCCCCTTGTTTTTGATTTCATATATTCAACATTCCATTAATTAGCAAATTTTGTCTTTGATAACGGTTTCTATCCAAAATTATGTTAAGATGGCGTAGAAAAACTTGTGTCCCTCCTATTTTTAAATAAAAAAATAGCGAATACAAAATTACAGTTAAATATTTGCCATTTATTTTAAAGCACGTTAATAAAATTTTAAACGAAAATTGTCATCAAATGAGATATATTCTAATTAATGAAATATTGATGACAAAAATCCGATGAAAAAGTTGGGAACATAATATGATAATAAATAAGAACTATGAATTTTTAAGGTAATTAAACTGTCATTACCAGATTGATTTTACTAAAATTGTTTCAAATTAATATTTGGCAGCATTTTATTGGTAGTTGGACCAAAAACATTTTCCAATCGTTCAATCACAATTTGCCAACTCATTTTGACAATTTGATTCTGATAAAATAATTTGATAAAATGGCATAACTCTAAAATGTAGTGCACTTAATGTATAGTGATATGAATATAATAAGCCTTGGTAAAATGGCTATTATGTCATGTACAATGCTCACTTTGTAGAAATACTGGGGAATGATTCTTGTAATTAATCTCGTGATTCTCTCCTTTTCTAGAGGTAATGTAGCTATACATTAGGTGTGGACACATTCATTATTGGTATAGCTTGATTGTAGGGATAGCAACTTGATTGCAAGATCCACATGTACTGTTGGTCCATTTTCTATGATTATTCTAGTTTACCAAGGCCACATGGGCCCTGTATACCAGGGGCGCCAACCTGTACATCAAGTAGGGCCCTTTTATATATGTCCCCGCACAAAATCATTAATATTCGAATATAAGAAAATATTCTTCCTCAAATGTGATTTCAAGTCATTTTATACTTTTCGAAAATATCAATTTCAAATGTGTGGTTACAATTATAAATTGTATTTTACAAATTTGAAAGACATTTATCATTTCATTAGTCCTACATGTTAAATGTAATTAACAATTATTTTGCCATAAAGTTCATTAATTCAAAATTTATAATTTGAAAGACATTTGTCATTTCATTAATCTTATATATTAAATGGATTACTAAGGTTTTTTTTATAAAAATGTAAATCTTTTTGAATGTACATTATTCATAAAAACATGAAAAATTAAGAAAAATGTTATTTGGAATTCAATTTTTTATTTTGTTCAATATGATGTTAAAAATGAACTAAAGAAGATGGTTTTCGATACAATATGAAGTTTCAAGGAATATTGTGTTTATATGTGGAATAAATAATGGTTTATCGAAGTCTAGAATTCGGATGTGATTATTTATATGAACGTCTAAATTTTAGAATTGTGTCTAGATTCTAGAGTGTAAGTTCTAGTGCCTCATTTTTGCTTGGACATCAGAGACTCCAGATGTATACATTTATAACACATTTGTTGTATTTTTATTTAAAAAAATGAACACAAGCTACATATTAATTTCTTGTATTATATGGAAGAAAAGTAAGAAAATGCTTAATGAATGGACACAGAATGGTCGAGTATGACATCATTGGTTTGTTCCAATCGATATAAAATTTGAAAAATTGTTTGTAGAGTTAATTATAGACTCGAAATTAATAGTTTAAGAACATTAATAACAATAAACATGAATTGCATGGATCATGTGTCGCAAGGAATTAAAACATTAGGGGCATTATTCATCAAGCACTTTATAGATTAGGTACCAAAATTTCAAAATAATTAAAAAGTTAGGAGCTATAATGACTTAAAAACAATAGAATGGAGATCTTCCTTTCCCAACTCCAAAACATGTCAATTACACCAAAATATAGAGACGTGATGACATGAAGCTTCGATTACATACATAGACCTTAAATTAAACAAGGCCCATCACTTCATTGAAAGCGTACACGAAAGTTTTCAATTTTCATCCTATCAGATCAGGACCCAATTTTTAATAGCCACATTACAACAAAATTCCATATAAAAAGCCAATTGTTTGAGGATATTATGTCGTGGAACCATAAGATAATCACACAAAAATCAGATCGAAGAATGAAAGTGCAAGAAATTGAAGACGAACACAGAAGATTTTTCTGAACAAAGCCCTAGAAATTCGGTGGTACTTCCAACACATTTCCACTGTTGAACGTCCACAAAAGTGGATAACGCTCATAGTAGTATAATTAAACCAAAACAGAAAATAAGGTGAAGCTAATGTCCGAGATACAAATCATAAGCCACTTAGGTTTATTCCCTGAGAAAACCCAGAAAAAAATAATAATAATAATAAAAATAAGGCACCTATCTATACACTTTCTATACCACAAAGATTATATTCTCAATTCTTTAAATAACAAGTAAACGAAGAAGAAGAAGAGAGGCTAGGGTTTCTGTAGTAAGGTATTCGAGAGAGACAGATTGAGAGAAAATAGATAGTCTAATCCAAAAAAGCGATTTGCAGTTCCCAATTGGAGAACAAGAGTTAAGCCAATAGGAGGATCCAAAATCCTCATCCAACGGTCACAATCTCAAAGAAAGTCTCCACTCATAGAAACGCCAATTTTGAAACACACTTTTCCAATTTTTGTAACACCAGTGAGTATTTTCCATTAGCTCTACTTTGCTACCAAGAATTGACTAATTAAGTACAAGAGCATCACCTTCACTTTTGCTACATATACTCTTATACATGTAAGATCACATTTAAACATAATCAATAGATAGTATGACGCGACCTGTCTCAAATCACCTTAATGGACCACGTGTTGTTCGTTGATTGTAGATACCAGCTAAATACTGGACCCACCACCAAGACAATTTTGACTTGCTTGACAAAAAAATATTTTCAAAAGAATTTTGATAGAATTTTCTTTGAAATATGGACTAAACCACCTGAGTAAAAATCAATTTTATCAAATCTATGCATATAATATAAAACAGGGTACACCAACCCCTCGAAATACCAACTATTCAAAATAAATGCATTGGAAAGAAATTTATATTCCTTTACAATCAGACAACTTCATTTGCAAAATATATAAAGAAATATGCAGTGAGCCCTTAATATAAATACATTTTCTGATAAAAGATGCATCAATCCCAAAAATATGTAATGTATTAACTGACAAGATGAAACATACAAGAAATGACACTGTGTGGCTCAACTCGAAGATCGACAGGCTCCAATGTGTCTTAACGCAGCTACTATCTATTAAGAAAAAGTGTGACAAAATATGTGCTTGTAACTCAGTGAGTGGATATTTTGTAAAAGTATACTTTTCCCTTTATAACAACTTTTTGAAAACTGATATCTAGTAAGAATTTTCTTTCACAATACTATAAACTAAAATCTTTATTCTTTAAACTGAATAAGCTAAATACTGTAATTTGAAATCTGATAATACTATCAAAACTAAAATATACTAGAATCATACAAATCTTTATTCTGTAAACTGCATAAGCTAAATTTCTGTTTCTAAAATCTAATAAAATGTATAATGCTGAAAAATTATGCTGAAAAGTTTTATTCTTTAAACTGAATAAACTAAATTCAGTAGTCTGTAATCTGATAGGCTGTATAATACTAGAAAATCATACCAAAGAGGTACCCAATGAATAGCCTTACTCATGTACAGAGTAATCTCGATGTACAAGGCAAAGCCATTCAAATTTGATATTCTGATAATCTGGTTATATGTACGCAGAGCTGCCCCAAAGGCTAATCACCCTAGTACACGGTCTAAAACCTATGTGTGTACAAGAGTGGGTCCCAAAGACCTTTGATAATTTGATCATACACTATGGAACACATTCACAATAGTACAGAGCATGTAAAATCATCATAACTGGTCATACACTGTGGAAATACATTTACACAAGTGCAGATTAGGGTAAAATTACTTGGGTACTTTCTGGTGGTTTTAAATAATAACTTTAAATATGTTGAAATATTTAATACTAAAATAATATGCCAATAAAATAAATTAATTGAACTGAATTTAACTTTTGAAAACATTTGATAATAAAATTCGTTTTATTCTGAAAAATCATGCTATCAACTCAACTTAAAAATATGTAACTTCAAAATTCAATAAATATTATTTCTGAAAAATAAGTTTTATTTCCACTCACTACTCTATGGATAAAAATCTTGGCTAAATTGACGGGCATCTCCAAACTTCCACTTCAATACCTGAAATAATAGTATAATAACTCAAATTAAAATATGACAATTAAACTAATGCAAAGTCACCACTTAATTCCTCAACTTTCAAATTTTCTCTTGAATCTCCATTTCTCGATACTTGAATGAATTCCCCAAATTTTCTTTAATCAATGGGAGATAATTCTATTCACTAATTCCTTCACTAGTTTTTAATTTATCAAAATTACTTTCATCCCAAGCATAAAATAATCATACTTTCCAATCTAATGAAAACAAGTAACCATAATTCCTCCCATTTAACACACAACTTGTTCCATAAAATCATCCTTTCATGTGAGTATTTCATGAAAACTATCATTTTCCCAAATTATCTTCACTCAAGAATCTAATTAAAAATCCTAGGGTTCACCATAAATGGTATAACTCACCTTGATATAAACAAATCTTCACAAATCAAAAATATCGGCTTGACATCATACTCTTTTCTTAAATCTGAAAATTAAACCAACCATAGAGAACCTTAGACAATTTAATATAAATTATACTACAAAACATTTACTTCTTTACCTCTTTTGAAGAAATTGAACAATGGAACAAACTTTTCTTCCCTCCTTTTTCCTTTTCTTTCTTCTTCCTTTTCTTTCTTCTTTTTCTTTCTTCTTTCTGCCGATTTTTCTCTATTTTTGCTCCAGCTCGTTCCCAGCTTCGTGTGTATGTAATTGGGTGAAAAAAGAAATAGGTAATTAGGTTTTAATTGGTTTTAAAATGAGCCACTAACCTAAATTTGCAAAGAAAGTCCCTCTAATTTCATATGCACTTCCTTAAGCCCTTATCTTTCAATATTAGAAAAGTAAATCCATAACTTTAAAATTTATCCATCTTAGCCCTCAAAATATTTTCAATTTTTAAAATAACCCCAAAAAAATAATTTACTTCATTAATGTTCTCATTGGACTTTGACTTTGAAAATTCAACTATTGAGTTTTGATTAGATAAAATGGGTTGTAATAATCTTACCTCCTTAAAAGAATTTCGTTCTCGAAATTCAACTAAAAACTTACTAGATAATGAATAGATGAGGATATTGAGCACACATTTGATCCTCATTCTCCCATGTGCCTCTTCTACCGCATGATTCTTCTGAGTACCTTTATAAATGAAATTGTCTTGTTTCACTGAATTTGCATCTTTCTATCTAGAATTCTCATTGGTTCTACTATACAAGTTAAATTCTCTTTCAACTGAACTGGTTGAGATTCCAGAACATGAGAATGATCTACAATGTAATTACAAAGCATGGAAACATGAAGAACATCATTGATCCTGGATAATTCAGCTGGCAAATCTAATCGATACGCAACTGGACCTATCAATCCAATAATCTCATATGACCCAATGTATTATGGACTCAACATTTCTTGTTTACCAAATCTCAAAATCCCTTTCCAAGGTGACAATTTTAGAAAAACTTTATCTCTAACCGCAAATTCAAGATCTTCTTGTGTCTATTTGCATAACTTTTCTGTCTATCCTGCGTTGCTTTCAAATTTTCTTTGATCAATTTCATATTTTCTGAAGTTATCTGAACCAATCCAGGGCCTATTTTTCCTTATCAGTTTCATCCTAGCAAACTGGTGTTCTACACTTCACACCAAACTTCAAAAGAAGACATTTCTATATTGGAGTGGTAACTATTATTGTAAGCAACTCCATCTACAACAATTGAGCATTCCAGCTACCTTAGAACTCTAAAACACACATTCTTAATATACTCTCAAGAATATGTATGATCCTCTTTGACTGGCCATCTATTTGAGAATGAAAAGCTGCATTGAACTGTAGTTTAGTACTTATGGCTTCCTCCATACTAGGCCAAAATTTAAATGTAAAGCGAGGATCTTATCAGATTCCATAGATAATGGAGTACTATATAAGCTCACTATCTCATCCTCAAAATTCAATTAGCTAAGATTCGAACATGTAAAGATATAAAGCACGCAATTGATCTTCACTTGCCGTAATTATATTGAATGATTTCTCTAGTAACATTTCACCAAACACATTTTCATTCTTTCATATCTTACACCTTAGATTTTTCTAAATTAAGTTCTCTTCAACTTCACTAATAATTTGAAAGCATACGATAAATCTGACATTTCTGACATCCACTTACTAGCCGTAGAAATAAACAATACATTCTTAAATACCAGATAAACTTATTATAAACACAATCCTTGAACAATTGGACCCAAGTTTAAAATAATATCTCAAAGACCAACATATGATATTCTCTTCATTTTACCAAATCTTAGAAAAATTCAGCTATTTCCCAATTCGAATTTGAAGATACTACTTTTCATATTCTTCAAAACTTCATCTTATATCATGATTTGAACTATTCTTTAATCAAATCCTTGTTCTACAACAATGGTTACAGATTAAGAGTGAATAACTTTGTTTTGCTAATTTCATTGCTGTAAGTATCCTATTTCGATATCTATTTATAACCTCAAATATCGTCACTTGTATTTAGTTCTTATATATCAACTCCATGTAAATAAATGATTATCCAAGGCCCCCTTTAATTAACAAATCATAGTTGATAACCTCTCTTTTGAATTCTCTTCATAATGTCTGACATTCTACTAAAAGAAGTTGCACAATGTAATTTATCCCTACAACTAAGCCAAAAATAGATACTCAATCTTCACCATATAAATTACAATTTAATCTAAATATAATTTTATAATTCTGTCTCACAAACTGATTATATCATTTGAAAATAATCTTGTAACCTTTTGTCGATCTATCAACAATGATCCAAATACTATTTTCTCTCCATTCTATGTACTAGTAAATCCAAATGAAAAATATTTGAGGGTAACTGCTTCCATTCTAAATTAACATTATCTGCAAAAATTTAATTGTTCATGATTTTCGAAAATTCTAGTTATTCCCAACAACAATTGAGACAGTTCAATATGATATTCTTTTCCTGTAATTCTATATCACTTAATGATATGTATACACACATTCAATTTCTAACCCTTTCAAATACAAATATACCTTAAACTCTAGTGATCGATAATTATCGATTTCTCGTAATGTGATAACACCACAATAAATTCAAACCTAATATCATCGACTCTAAATCGTGTTTTAATCATGTCTCTTTAGCATTCATACATCATAATCCATGATTAATCATTTTATTTCAGAACAATTTCTAAACTCTAACCTAACTCATTATCATAAATAAAACCCTCATCAACTTTAAATACAAGAGCAATTTTTTCCTTGGAATTTAATCTGATAACAAAACTTTTTACATTACTAAACCCACACAGTCTCAGTGCTCTTTCTTTCTTTGAAGAGATAATAATAACATTTAATTCATGATAATTCTATACTCTTATTCCCTAAAGAGGCCATTAACCTATTACCAATACATAAGTTTTATTTTTTTATTTTTTTAATATATCACATAAAGACCTTTAATTTAGATAATGTACCCAAAGGCCATTCCATGATCGAGTAAAATTTACATTTGATGATCATCTTAAACCTTAGACTATCCAACATATCATCCATATATATATTCCATAACATACAAATTTTGAAAAGAATGGAATACTTTATTTGTGAGATTCAAGAAAATACGATCGAAAATGACCCAAAAATTCATCACTAAAATTTTAATAAATTCACCTTAACTTCCAAAATTAGCTCGAAACTTCCAAATTATATATAACATAACAAAATAATCAACAAATGGCCTTAACAAAATTAATTAACTTAATAACCAAAATATATCATCACATTATTTTGCTATAGGACAACCATCACATTCATTTACACGCTATTTACCATATCATGTCATGATCATGTAACTTTATCATTTATCATTATCTCGAATGACCTAAAACATTTATATCAATTTTCCTTAAGATCATAGAATAGTAATCTTCATATTTATCACGTAAACTTTCACACATCAGTATACCACCAAGATTTCAAATGTTAACTTTCCAATCTCAATAAATTCCAACCAGCATAATGTCGCAAAAATGTCCATCATTTAAAGTTCTCTGTCCACTATCTGCATCATCTAGAGCACATAAGAATGACATCTTCCCAAAACCAAACTTTTTAGTCCTAATAGATAATCAAATCCCTTATCATTACTGACTTTCATTTTGTCTTTTAATTGAGTTTATCTAACATAGCCAAGCAAATTAACTTTACCCCAAAATTAACAAAAATGGCCATAAGTAATCACTTATGATTGTGCATGCTAATTTCGAAATTCATTGATAAAAAATAAGGCAAACCGTATTACCATAAGTTGTGTAATCCCATATCATTATAGTCAGGGCATTTATAACTTATTATCTTTCCATGGTACTCTTATTTCTAATTACCTTCAGTTCGCCCACTACATATAAGGAGACACATAATCCTTTTGTTATATTTTTCTTTGACTGCATCCTAAACTCGTCAAATCTTTCTTCCAAATACCTATCACTCACATAATATAATTGGAAAAGCTGAAAAACAGAGTAAGATACTTTCACGTGACAACCTCTCTATTTCTTATTCCATGTCTATTTATTTTCTCAAATAAGGAAATAAAATATAACGCCAAGATTTTATTTTTCCTTCCTTGTTAATGAATATCATCTTGAACACCAAACTTATTTCCCATAACTAGAATGTCATGGTCCCAATAACGAAATATGGTTCCAAATCCTCCTAGATCTTCAAATTTCTAAAAAAAATTGTGGTAGGGACCCCCTCAGAGCACAAAAATGTGTCATTGCATTGGCTTTGTTGGATCTTATTATGTGGGAAAAATTAAAAAATAATAATAATAAAAAACTTTGCATGGTTGATTCCTTTCCTCTCTTCACTTATCCCTTTGCTACTACTTGTTATCAATTGGACCATAATGCAATTTGCTGTGTTGAAAGGACACTGGACCTGAATAAGCAAGGAAGGGTTTTTCACTATTACAGTGCAACCATATTGCTCGTTCATAAGGTGGTGGTAAAATGTTAGACAATAATAAATATGAAAAAAAAAGAAACGAAGTTAAAAAAGCAGACTTGAGTAATATTGTATACAAAACGTGCCCTGTTTGTGTTGCTGTAATCAATAATTACGACAAATAGTGGAAAGTCCAATAATGTTATTTCCTTTCATACCTTTCATACTCGATCTTAATGAAGTAGAAAGAAAGGATTAAAAAAAAAGGTAGTTGCACCTAATGTGGGGTTAGAATACATTAATGCTCAAGAAGGAATTATTTGAGGTGGGCCTTGACCAACTTCACCCTTTATGTTCATCTTTTTAGGAGAAAAATGAAAAAAGATAGATAGTTCCATCGTTTTCGGTGGACTGCAGCCAGTATCATATTTTCTTCAATTTCTTAATGCAAGAGAAAGGGTTTAAAAGAATCAAAAATCGATTTCGGGGACTAAAATGTAACATATGGAAGAAATTTTGCCTGGGCGACAGCCTAGTTATAAAAGCCGGGCAATCGCGGCAAAAAAATTCTGGTTTCTTTTTCTAATTAAAACTCTTATGGAAACAAATCTTGGGAGTCTTTTAAAACCCTAAGGACGTCCAAAAACGGGGAGAACGCATTGGGAGACAAGAAATCACATCTTGGAGAGAATTTTGAGCGAAATTAACGAAGGATTGCACGAAGATCAAGAAGATTTATCAAAAATTCATAACCCGGTGATGCTTCCTCTTCAATATATGATGTATTTCGATATTATTTCCATGTTAGGCTAGATTTACATGTACTAGGAGATCAATATACCATGTGATGAGATCTTTAAATTTCTAGTTTTACAATTTGACATCAAAACACGTTTTGATTGTTTGAATGATTTATATGCAATTATTATTTTTCACAATTAAGGGCTCGTAATTGTGTGAGTTTGGGTGACTTGTTCTTGCATTCGAGAGAAGTAGAATAGGTAAACTAGATAAGCTAAATATTGTAATTTGAAATCTGATAATACTATCAAAACTAAAATATACTGGAATCATACAAATCTTTATTCTGTAAACTATATAAGCTAAATTTCTATTTCTAAAATCTAATAAACTGTATAATGCTGAAAAATTACGCTGAAAAGCTTTATTCTTTAAATTGAATAAACTAAATTCTGTAGTCTGTAATCTGATAGGCTGTATAATACTAGAAAATCATACCAAAAAGGTACCCAATGAATAGCATTACTCATGTACAGAGTAATCTCGATATACAAGGCAAAGTCATTCAAATTTGATATTCTGATAATTTGATAATATGGTCATACGTACGCAGAGTTGTCCCAAAGGCTAATCACCCTTGTACACGGTCCAAAGCCTATGTGTGTACAAGATTAGGTCCTAAAGACCTCTGATAATCTGATCATACACTATGAAAATACATTCACAATAGTGCAGAGCAGGTAAAATCACCATAACTGGTTATACACTATGAAAATACATTCACACAAATGCAGACTAGGGTAAAATCACCTGGGTACTTTCTGGTGGTTTAAAATAATAACTTTAACTTTGCTAAAATATTTAATACTGAAATAATATGCTAATGAAATAATTTAACTGAACTGAATTTAACTTTTAAAAACATTTGATAATAAAATTCGTTTTATTCTAAAAAATCATGCTATCAACTCAACTTATAAAATACGTAACTTCAAGTGTAGAGCAGGTAAAATCACCTGAGCACTTTCTGGTGATTTTAAATAATAACGTTAAATATGCTAAAAATTTTAATACTGAAATAATATGCCAATGAAATAATTTAACTGAACTGAATTTAACTTTTAAAAACATTTGATAATAAAATTCGTTTTATTCTGAAAAATCATGCTATCAACTCAACTTATAAAATACGTAACTTCAAAATTCAATAAATACTTATTTCTGAAAAATAAGTTTTATTCCCACTCACTGCTTTATGGATAAAAATCTTGGCTAAATTGACGGGCATCTCCAAACTTCCACTTCAACACCTGAAATAATAGTATAATAACTCAAATTAAAATATGATAGTTAAACTAATGCAAAGTCACCACTTAATTCCTCAACTTTCAAATTTTCTCTTGAATCTCCATTTCTTGACACTTGAATGAATTCCCCAAATTTTCTTTAATCAATTGGAGATAATTCTATTCACTAATTCTTTCACTAGTTTTTAATTTATCAAAATTACTTTCATCCCAAGCATAAAATAATCATACTTTCCAATCTAATGAAAACTAGTAACCATAATTCCTCCCATTTAACACACAACTTGTTCCATAAAATCATCCTTTCATGTGAGTATTTCATGAAAACTATCATTTTCCCAAATTATCTTCACTCAAGAATCTAATTAAAAAACCTAGGGTTCACCATAAATGGTATAACTCACCCTGATATAAAAAAATCGTTCACAAATAAAAAATATTGGCTTGACATCATACTCTTTCCTTAAATCTGAAAATTAAACCAACCATATAGAACCTTGGACAATTTAATATAAATTATACTACAAAATATTTACTTCTTTACCTCTTTAAAAAAAAATGAAGAAATTGAACAATGGAACAAACTTTTCTTCCCTCCTTTTTCCTTTTCTTTCTTCTTTCTGCCAATTTTTCTCTATTTTTGCTCCAGCTCATTCCCAGCTTCGTGTGTATGTAATTGGGTGAAAAAAGAAATGGGTAATTAGGTTTTAATTGGTTTTAAAATGAGCCACTAACCTAAATTTGCAAAGAAAGTCCCTCTAATTTCATATGCACTTCCTTAAACCCTTATCTTTCAATATTAGCAAAGTAAATCCGTAATTTTAAAATTTATCTATCTTAGACCCTCAAAATATTTTCAATTTTTAAAGTAACCCCAAAAAAATAATTTACTTCATTAAAGTCCTCATTTGACTTTGACTTTGAAAATCCAACTCTTGACTTTTGATTAGATAAAATAGGTTGTAATATAGTAATTATAGATAATTGCTTAACTTATTGAACAACTTTGGTTTCCATGTCATATAGATTATACTGACTTGCTATCTTTCCAATTTTAAGAGTTTCTTTTGATATGTTCGTTAACAAGATATTTGACATCTATATGTTTTATCTATCATGAAATATGGGTTTCTTACTTAAAATAATAACACTTTCATTATTAGTAAACAAATAGCATTGCCATCTACAAAACCAAATTCCTTAATGATTCACTCAACCAAAGTCCCTATTTTATTGCGTTAGCAGAGCAATATATTCAGCTTCTGTAGATGAAATAGAAACAACTATTTGTAGCTGAGATTTTCATCTTATAACAGCACCACAAAAAGTGCTCAAATATGCAAAAGTTGTTCTCCTATTATCCTTGTCTCCAGCAAAATCAAATTTAATGTAACTAGTTACCTGGAAAAAAAAAATTAGTACAACTCTTTAAAGTTACCCGTCTCAACTTTTTCTAAATATCATCCCAAAACGAGTAGTTCCTTTCAAGCAACCATTTTAGAGCTTTCCTGACACTCACTAAGGTTATCTATGAATATGCAGATGGCTATGTTAGTTTCAATAACAAAATTGACTAAATTGATCACTTGTAAAAGTCAAGGACTTAGTTGCAATTTTGAATTAATGAGGTAAATTAGTGTTTGAGTCATTGAAGGAGTCCAAGAAGATCATATGTGACCATCGGAATGCAATTAGAAGTCTAAAGAATATCAAAGAGTCGCACTAGTTATGTTCCAAATTCTTAGTCGTAACTTGCAATACATTTTTCACATATAAAATATTGACCAGGCTATTTCCAACAAATTGTATCCCTTTGAGTTAGCTTTCCAACACAAGTTTGAATCACCTTAATCGGATATCGAGAGAGAAAGTTATGGTGAAAACACTGACGACTGCTCAACTTTTGCTTGAGTGAAAAAACAGAATGCCTCTCACTTGATTCTCGCTGGCTCCTCACTTGAGCGATATTCTTATGTGGAAAAGCCCCTATTTCATGTTTTTAATTGTTTTACTCGGCTCATACCACCAAAACACCGTCAAATATAAATACTCAAGTCCTAGCACAAATTTTTGGCATGGTTGTTCATTGTGCCTCTCTTAGAAAACATATTCTTATCACCTTTTTGAAGATCCAAGAGCATGTCCAAGCATTGATTCATTTTATGAATTCTTGAGATCCAACAACAACCACATATTGGGGAAAACATCAAAGGTCCGATAATTCAAAACAAATGTCTTCTTTAATCTTTTGAGAAAGAGACTCTCCCATTGGGGGATTGAGAGAAGTGGATTAAAGTGAAATTACAAGCACAAGAACAGGTGGTTCTTGGTGTTCTACTTGGGAAGACGCTTTGTACAGATCAGAAGGCTGTAGGAGACAGTAAATTGGATTGCAAGAGGTAAAAAAATTTGAAAATTCTATTTAAATTAGTGCATATCTTGATTTTTTTATTGACTTTTTTCAAAAGAGGTAAGATCCGGTGAATCAGAAATAATTAATTAAAAAACTTTTTTTATGGAACAGACATATCAATATGCATGGATCATACCTTTTGTTCCACTTCCAGTTCTTATGTTAATAGGAGTCAACTTTTTCTTTTTCCGATGACAACAAAAAATCTTCGTTTTATGTGGGCCTTTCCGAGTATTTTATTGTTAAGTATAGTCATGATTTTTTTAATGAATCTGTCTATTCAGCAAATAAATAGTAGTTGTATCTATCAATATGTATGGTCTTGGATCATCAATAATGATTTTTCTTTAGAATTCGGCTACTTGATTGATCCCCTTACTTCTATTATGTCAATTTTAATCACTACTGTTGGAATTATGGTTCTTATTTATAGCGATAATTATATGGCTCATGATCAAGGATACTTGAGATTTTTTGCTTATGAGTTTTTTCAGTAATTCCATGTTAGGATTAGTTACTAGTTCCAATTTGATACAAATTTATATTTTTTGGGAATTGGTTGGAATGTGTTCCTATCTATTAATAGGGTTTTGGTTCACACGACCTATTGCGGCAAATGCTTGTCAAAAAGTGTTTGTAACTAATCGTGTAGGGGATTTTAGTTTATTATTAGGAATTTTAGATTTTTATTGGATAACAGGTAGTTTCGAATTTAGGGATTTATTCGAAATATTAAATAACTTGATTCATAATAATAAAGTCAATTCTTCATTTGTTACTTTGTGTGCTGCTTTATTATTTACTCGTGCAGTTGCTAAATCTGCACAATTTCTCCTTCATGTATGGTTACCTGATGCTATGGAGGGACCTACTCCTATTTCGGCTCTTATATATGCTGCTACTGTGGTAGCAGTGGGAATTTTTCTTTTAGCTCGCATTCTTCCTCTTTTTATAGTTATACCTTACATAATGAATTTAATCTCGTTCATAGGAATAATAACAGTATTATTAGGAGCTACTTTAGCTCTTGCTCAAAAAGACAATAAGAGGGGTTTCGCCTATTCACCATGTCTCAATTGGGTTATATGATGTTAGCTCTAGGAATGGGGTCTTATCGAAGTGCTTTATTTCATTTGATTACTGATGCTTATTCCAAAGTATTATTATTTTTAGGGTCTGGATCTATTATTCATTCAATGGAAACTATTGTTGGCTATTCTCCAGATAAAAGTCAGAATATGGCTCTTATGGGTGGTTTAACAAGACATGTACCAATTACCCGAATTTCTTTTTTATTAGGTACAATTTCTCTTTGTGGTATTTCACCTCTTTGCTTGTTTTTGGTCAAAAGATGAAATTCTTAATGATAGTTGGTTGTATTCGTCGATTTTCGCAACAATAGCTTGGACCACAGCAGGATTAACCGCATTTTATATGTTTCAGATCTATTTACT